AAAAATAAAAAAAAAGTGAAATGTCAGTGCTCCTAACCTTAAATTATTCTTGCATACAATTCTTATTTTTTGTCTCCCGATAATAATCCAAATTATAAATAATAATAATAATAATTTACTTAGGAATAATAATCGTTGGTTCGAACAAAAGAAAATAAAAAAACATCTCATCGCTATTTATTATCGTGTTATATTTTTGTCATTTTTTTCGTAGCACACGTGAAACAAAATGATATTGACAATGTCATTGCCAATGTTAGAATAAAAAGAAAAGAAAAAACTGTTGAACTATCACGGTAATAATTCGATCATTGTGTTTATCGTATCACCGAACGAATTAATAATAATTTATAATAAGCGTTTCGTTTGAACAACAATGATTCGTACTTATGTAATAAAAATAATAATGAATGCCATTTTTATTTGCATCGTTAATAACTCAAATGACTTGGCAAATCTTCTTCTTTTATTTTTTTTTATTATTTTAATCATTTATTTTTTTTCCTTTCTTTTTTTATTTTCCTTCTCTTCTATTTTTAATTGTTATTTACGCGCAAATGGGAAATTTTCATATTGACTGAATTATCATTGGTAATTGTGTAATAAAAAAAATTGATTATAAAATAATAATCATTATATTTTTGATTATACTAACACACACACACACACACACACACACACACACACACACACACACACACACACACACACACACACACACACACACACACACACCATTTTTGTATAAAATGATTTTCTTTAATACCCCAATTCTGTTGAGAATAAAAATAAAATTATTTTAAATAACTCGTTCATAAAAGGAGAAAAAGAAAAAAAAAATAGGAAAAGAAAATATTTTCAATGTACGTTTTCGATAAAAATAACCAATAATATTGATTATATGATTTATAGTAGTTTAAAGTGATAAAGAAAAAGGAAAAGTAATAAAAAAAATTCTTTCATTTGCATAAGACCATAAAACATACAAAATTAATATTTATTTAAAAAAAAAAAATTTTAAACGAAGAATATTCTTCAATTACTTTGTGTGCTTTTGTTTAAATTAAATTAATAATAACTAGAATAAAAGAAATAAAAAAAAAAGGTTTTTACTTCAAAAGGGATGAAAAGTATAAAATGTAACCCCATATCTATGTATACAAATACATATGGGGTGAGTCAATATGAGAACTACTATCTAGAATAATTATTTTCCTTATTGATCAAATTATTATTATCTCATATTATATCTTTGAATAAATAATTCAATATTTATCATTGATAGCAATGAAATATTTATTCATATTTAAACATATTTCAACATTTTTATTGAACCTATCTTGACCCGCCAAAAAGGGGTCAAGGGGGAAAAAGACTTTGTACTTTTACACACAAATATTAAATAAAAATTAAAAAATTGAATACATTCGTTTTAAACAAAAATATATGAGGTAACTTTGATATATATAATATATATATATATATATATTTTGATGGGAAGTTCTACCCCAACCGCCGTATTTACCTGATATAGCCCCTTCCTATTTTCACCTATAGACTACAGGCCCAACCTAAAAAATCGATGGGTCATCTGATCCCCCGGGAAACCTATATGGGACGATATAGGGGCATAAAATAATAATTTTTAGCACTGTGCCGTTACTTGTAAGCTGTTCAACTGAGTGCAGGTGAGAATTAAAAAGCACAAAATAACCGGGTACTTTTTCATCAAATGATTTTGTACGGCATTCTTACCACCGATAGATGCATCGAAAATAATGAGAAAACACGTAGTGCCGATTAAAAATAGTAGGTCACAAAGTCGGAAAATTTTTTTGACTTTCCGGAATATTCCTGGTTTATTTAATTATTTGATTTTGTACGGTGTCGGTTTCATACAATTTCAATACCTATTCTAATTGATTATTCTGCAACGCCGTACAAAAAAAGAAACCCGGAAAATTTCCGGAAAATCAAAAAAATTTTCCGACTTTGTGACCTACTATTTTTAACCGGCACTACGTGTTTTCTCATTGTTTTCGATGGATCTATCGGTGGTAAGAATGCCGTACAAAATCATTTGATAAAAAAGTACCAGTTTATTTTGTGCTTTTTAATTCTCACCTGCACTCAGTTGGACAGCTTACAAGTAACGGCATAGTGCTAAAAATTATTATTTTATGCCTCTATATCGTCCCATATAGGTTTCCTGAGGGATCAGATGATCCATCGATTTTTTAGGTCGGGCCTGTAGTCTACTATTCCGTTCGATGGCACATGGCTTAGCTGACCAACGTTTTCATTCTTACGAAGAAGCTAAAAAATGGGTCGATTCATGGATAGCCTCAAAAGACATGTCGTTTTTCCAACGCGGAATTCATATACTGCCAGAAAGATGGGAGAAAGTGGTCTTTAGTGTGGGGCAATACTTTCAATAAAACGTTTTTGTTCTTTATATTTTAATTAAAGTTTTTATTTTGTAAAAAAACAGCGAAAACTTATTCAAGGTCCTAATATATAATATAATTAATATAAAAATAATTAAATATAATTTAATTAGTTTAATTAATAAATTAATTAAAATAAAATATAATATAATAAATATAATATAAAAAAATATATATTATATTAATAATAAAAATAAATAATTATATATATAATTATTATTATACATTATATAACATTATATATATATATATAATGTACGATGTACCGTATAAGTACATTATAATAAAATAAAAACAAAAACACTAATTGTTTGAAAGCTGTTCATTTTCTTTCTTTCTTTCTTTCTTGCTTGCTTTCTTTTTATCGACAAATCTTAATGTAATAAATTATAAATTATAATGTAAAATGTGTGTGTCTCTGAGAGAAATATATTAGTAGATATAAAAAAATAATATAATCCATAATAATAAAATTCTGATGATGAAAATAATGCGCATGCATTTGACGTTCTGGCATTTCTCACATATGTACATGATAAAATTATGATACAGGAAATGGTTGTGCAATTTAACTAAAACTATAATACATATATACTAACTACATACTAGACTCCTTAGTGCATAATAGTCATTTATTGTCGAGTTATAAAATTCATAAACAAAAATGAAATTTGTCTAAAAATCATCAAATTTAAATCTTCAATATCATTCAAATGGATGACTATTAAAAAGTGCACAATACAAATTTTT